TGTTTCCTTATTCTATAATCGCTTTTCTCATGGGTTGTGGGATTTACAAACAGCCAAAAAGTTATCCCAGACGGTGTTTAAGTATTGTTTATATTATTTTAATGTGGAGTGTGTATGCTTGGTGTTTATACAATAGACTGATAAGTACAACGTACTTTAACTCACGTTTTCAATTCTTACATTTTTTTATAATGGGAATAAATTTGTTCATGTGGATGCTATCTGTATTTACCAATTTTTACAAATACGAGGTATAGTATGAAAATTATTATTGTTTTCATTTTGCACACATACGTATAGTATAATAGATATAATAAAATATCCTAGTTTACACTTTCGTTGATGTTTTACATATTTTTGCAAAAAGAAAATATTGTTACGTCCTGAGCCTATGGTTACGGTCGGGCATTAGTGGTAGTACGCAACAGACGCACTGACACATTCAAGCGAACGTGAAGTCTATCCCGGCACACTGACACAAGAAGGAAGTCAGGAATGCGCGGGTCGAGCGAGACAGTTTGGCAACGCAGACAGGCCAACGGGGTTACCCGATTTTCTCTGTCTAACGTATTCTCACTCGTTGGTTCCTTTTTAGGTCTAAGACGCAAGTCTCAATTACCAAGGACGGAACCACGCGATTTAACAAGGAATGAACGGGTTGTTAATTGAGGGTGGTTTACTAGAGTAGTAGTTTGTTAGTTAGACGAGGTCCATAAGAGTTAAATTAATTAAAGCCGGATTTTGTTATAAAAATATTAGCATAATTGTTTATTCAAATAGATGGTTAAAACAATAATAATAAGAAGAAAAACATAAGTAAACTCCGCATGAATTTGCTTTAGATAGGCACGTACAGTTCATGTGGAGCGGTTCGTGTTTTATATCCATTATTATTAAAGAGATCTCCGCGTATTGTTACAAGCGGCGGAATGGTTTGTTGTAGTGACATCGGGATTATTAAGCTGAATTGAAGTTAATAGAAAATCTTAAGTCCGGAGTGCTTTTACGAGAAATCATTTCTTGTCAAAATACACTGTCACTAGTTAGTTACGGGTCGTCGGTCGGATCCGTCTCCGCAAGAGATCGTAAAATGAGAGGGTCTATTGTTCGGAAGATTCTATTTTAACATAGGCGCTGTTCATTTGACTATGAGTAGCAAATCGAGATAATCAATTAAGAGTAAATTACTATCATTGAATTATTGATAGGATAAATGTTCACGATTGTTATTACGGTACTCGGAATCGTTACATTACGTTGTGTATCGAGAATTAGAATTGGTTGTAAGAATTGATGATCTTGACTGCTGCTCATATCGAAATGCAAAAGGTGTATGAGTCTGTATTAGTGAGACTTACAATGTACTCGGTGATATACTTTGGTGATAACGGTGCTGGAAATTGGCGAGGTTGCTCGGTGATTGGTCGCAGTTGTTTCGGTTAGGATTCGCGCTGCCCGCAGATGATCGCCAGGGAAGTCGGCGGGACCCTCAGCAGGTTCAACGAAGGAGAGGTTTGCGAAATTTCTTTGATTCAAATTGACTGACCGATTGATCGTTAATCACTGACTCTATCGCGAGAAGCTACTCTTTGAAGATTGGATTACGTACTGGTTGATGAATGCGAGAATGAACGAATAATAATGGCTGCTTGAATAATAATGAATGCTCGGATAATAATGACTGATTGGATAATAATGAATGCTCGATCGAGGATCCAGGGCTTTTATACCCGCGGGTTGATCTCCCCTTCTTCATCGTCTTTTCCCGAACTTTCGCCCCCTCGTTCGTTGACCGCCGGGGCAAAGACCTTTTCCCCTTTCGTTCGATTCTCCGGATCGATGGAATCATCGTTTGTTTAGATCTCGCTTACCGGTACGTGTCCTATCTTGTTTATGTCTGCGAGTCGCGACTCTTTTTTCGGACTTGTCTATCTTATCCCGGCTGGCTCTCGTTTCCCTTTCGAGGAACTCGTTACAAGGATTATTTCTCTTAAGATTATTGTTAGACTTATTAATTATATTCCGTTGCAAAATGAAAGAGCCCGTGGAGTCCAGGACGTAACAATATTATAATTGTGCTTTAATGGTTATTTAATTTTTCAGGAACAATGGATGTGTATAAAAAAATTGGATCTTGTAAATGATACATTAGAAAAGATTGGAATATCTAAGGAA